TTCGTCATTCATATTTATTTTCCTATTACTTTACTATCTTTTAATAATAAATTGCTTTCAAGTATACAATAAGATCATTAGTCAATTTTAATAATTTTATATTAATTAAATATTGTAACGTCTAATATAATTACAAATTTCAACTCCAATTTAAATTAAATATCATAAATTATAATATAATTCCAAAGTTCAGTTTAAATCTAAATTACATATTGCAAATCCTAATATAATTTCCAAGTTCAGCTCTGATTTAAAGAAAACATTGCAAATTATAATAATTCCAAAGTCTAGCTTCTATTTAAATAAGACGTTGAAAATTATAATAATTCCAAAGTCTAGCACCAATTTAAATAAAACATTACAAAACAGATCACAGAGCAATTAATCTCCTCGTATGCCAAAGACTTTCAAAATCATTTCTCCAAAATAAATCCTCAGCAAGGAAGCAATTTCTCTTAAGCAGATAGAAATGGATCGCCCATCATAGAATATCATAGTTCCATGCTTCCCCTTGATTTTCTACGATACGTCTTTCCGGGAGCCGATTAATGAAGCATAAAATTTGAAAGCGTTAAGAAATGTGCATCAGAAATGACTAACGAAATCGTGCATTATCTCGCGGCAGCGTAACGACGCCGAAGTTCAGCTTAAGCGGGCAATATTAATTCCCGGGTGCATCAGCATCGAGGAAACCTCTTTCTTCGTCATGTTAATACGCAACACATGCTGCATACATACACGATCGGATTTCAGTTCCGTTCGCCGTGGAGGAGCGTTCGGGAACGATTACGGTCGTCGAGGAGATCGAGCGGTTCGACCGGTCGACGTACGATTTCGAGGCGGTCGTTACCGACGAGAGGGAGCTAATGCTGATCACCAACGTCTCGATCCACGTGGTCGATCCCAACGACGAGAGGGGGATCTTCACGAAGTAAGTGAAACTATCTGCGACGTGTGCCTCGCAGTATATTTTAACGAGCACCGAGTGAAACGCGGATTGTTTCTCCTTGTAATTGGGGAATTAAGATCGACGGAGATAACGCGCCTTTGTTGGTCGTTTAGTCGACCTATTTTGGCTATAACTTTGCACGTTTTTGTGGTACTTTGTAATGATAATTTGAGCGTTTAGAGGTTGTGTCATGTACTGGGTTGGTTGATGAATATTGTTGTATTTTTAAGGAAGTTTGATGATAAAGTTTTGTCAGTATGTACAGTCGATTTATTTGGCTACAACTTTGCACGTTTTCGTGATGTTTTGTAATAATAATTTGAGTATTTTAGAGGTTGAATAATGTTAGTTGGTTGGTTGGTAAGTGTTATTGAATTTGTAAGGAGTTTTGTCAGTATATTTACTCAATCTATTTTGGTTACAACTTTGCACTTTTTCATGGCATTTTGTAATGATAATTCGAGTGTTTTGGAGGTAGAATAATGCAGTTGTACTTCATAAGAGTTATTATATATTTTAAAGAAATATGGAGGCAAAATTTGTTTGCTGAAACTAAATTTCTTGAAACTGGACGTTGTTTATTTTAATTCGACAAATTTCTAATACCTTTTGGGATATTTATTTGTAACATTAATTGATTTATTGTAATACAATAATGGAATGGGACATTGAAAGAAGAAACCATAATTTATAGGACAATCCAATACGTATGAAAATATAATTTTCGTAACAATAAATAACAGCAATAATTAAAAGCTGTCTACAAATTTTCCTCCAACATTTCAAGATAGCTAGCAACATTCAATATTCATTGTACTACCGATAATTATTTTTCAAATTTCATTTCATATAAACATCTTCATCAGATTGTCCATGTATACACCCTTACAGCTCACAAAAACAAACAAAAGCTTCAGTAACAATGACCGTATTATTAAACAGATAACTTCTAAATATACACAAAGTATTAAACCATATAAACCTCCTTATTCTTCACACACAACAATAAGGAACTAATCCTTTAAAACAAATCCCAATTCATCGACTACAAGCACCACCGACAACGAATAAAACCTGTTTACCAGAACACCGCGACAAGTAATCGCGAAAAGAAAGCGTCGGTTCGGTTTCACGACGCACCAAGGGGTTGTAAAACGAGTAGACCGCGGAACAGCCCGAGTTTCTAGCCAAGAGACGATTATTACAGGCGGATTGATACGTTGATTTCGCTCGGAGCGCAAAGGTCAGGAGTCAACGGCTTTCCGGGTGTTCTGTTTGCTTATCCAAAACTCGATGGCCATTGATTGCAGGGGAACGACCACCGCCCCTCTCGTCTTCCACGCGAAGGAGAACGTGCCGGGCACGTACATCGGGCAAGTGCTTCCGCAGAACAGCACCACCGGCACGTCCGGCCACGGCGTCCGATTTTTTATCGTCAATCAGCAAGATGTGCCCGATATCTCGATCACCGAGGACGGCGCTTTGTACGCGCCGCAAGGTCTCGACCGCGAGACCAGGCAGAATTATAGCATCACCGTGATTGCGGAGAGCCACCGAGGGGTCGGAGTTTTCCAAGTAAGTTTTCTCTCTATCCCGGTAATTAACCCCTCGTCGAATGCGACGGGTCGACAAACGAGCGGGAACGGGCGTCGTACTTTCGCGGGTTAAGGGTGCGTTTATACTATACGCTCAGACAGCGCCGGGCGAATGTTGTTCATAATAGTGAATACGGAATGAGGAATAAATTCAATTTAATAGATGCTTATGGATAACGAACGATTAACATTAAAACTACCGAGCTAAATTGACTTTTTGAAATTTCTTTATGGAAACTTTAAGAGTTCAAGTATAGAGACTTCAATTAATTTACAATTGAGTTTGGGTATTGCTTAATGAATTTATTTACTAATTTCTCAGAGAAATCTGTTATCTTTTTAATAATTGTGAAAAGAAAACATCAGGAATGGGTCATTTTGACTCGTCTGGCAGGTTTAGTGTTAATATGTTCATTATTTACACTATTTCTACCGAACGTGTCAAAAGATAGATTCCGAAATTTTAATTGAAAATTATTTTCTCAGTTAAGTCACATTTCCTCAATTGAATTTTGGACATTTCATATTTTTTCATGTTTTTCAAAACTTCTGTTTATACAGTAGAATATCATTTATCCGATTACAGCAATGTACGTATAAATGGTTTGATAAGAAGATTGATAATAATATAATAAGATAATCAGACAGTGAGATAATAAGTTGATTCATAAGGCGCACAAGGATAGTTCATATAATCTATCTACTAGAACTAAAGGTCAGATACTCGGTTATCTTTGATTTGTGGTTCACATAAATAAAGTCCTACTGTACTTTCATTTTATTAGCCACAAAAATGTTTGGCTGAACTAAATCGTTACGTGTCTAAACGGACAGTATAAACGCACCCTAACGCGGCCGTACCAGAGACTCGGGGTGCGTCGAACTCGTTAAACGACGCTCGAGGGAATTTCTTTCCCCGATTCAGAGCGCCGCGGAAATTGATTGAGGCGGTTTGTCCTTTGAGGATAAGAGACGGCTGGGGATGTGTAAGTGCTTCAGCTGTTTTCGTGTGGGAAGAATATTTGTGTAAGGGGTGTGATTTAGGGGAAAGAGTTTTAATCTGTTAATTGGGAGGTCTCTTAAGCTTGGATGGTCGAGTAGGTACGAATAATGGGGAATAATAAAGATTTAGAATGGTTTATTGCTTAAAGATTGTAATTATAATTTAATTTATAATTACTATAATAGTTTTAATTGAGAATTTTTTAAAAATATAGACAAATATAGTAAGACAGAAATGTCGAGTATACTTGTCCTCGGTTAATAAGTTAATGAGGTATAATTATGAACATTTCAAAAGTTTAATGTTAAATATTTTCTAGGTATTTTTATTTTTTAAACGTGTAAAATATTTATTATATATTTATATATGAATCTATATGCCAAATAATATTTCTTTTCTGAAATTAGAATATATTTTTCAATGCGTCTAATTGTATATTTTTAACTCATTAACACTTCATATAAATATATAAAATATTGAAGGTATATTTTATATATATATATATATATATATATATATATATATATATATATATATATCTTTATGAAGTAATGGAAATTAGAATTGGCGACCACTTAACCCTGAAAACAAAATCTATTTGTAGGTCAGAAAAATAACACGATTACTGTTGTTGTTTAAACTGGAATTCTATTCCATCTGGTCAATTTTTTTCACTGCGATGAGAGATTTATGGAATAGTTGAGAATAAAGGACACAAATTCTCTGCGAAGGTTTTTTAATATACTAAAACGTAATATTGGAGTGCCGCGTCCTTCCCCAAAAATTTGTTGCCTGTTTCCTATAGATTCCATCCATCATGTTTGAGTTATGGACGCGTATTTGAAATTCTACAATTTGAATATCAGATTTCAATATTCTAATATACATAACTGAATTCTGAATTAACTGGACATTAGTTCTTCCCACTATAATCTTATAAATAGAGTATGTAAGTAAATTTTTAGATAGGTTGTGTAACTTTGTTTAAACATATTCTCCAAAATTTATTTATACTTATAGATAAATAAGATAGATGTTCTTAAATGAAATTTTTAATTAAACAAGCAAATACTGTAAATTGTTACATATTGCTGTTCATGACAGAAAAATTGAATTATGTGTGAAGGTTTAGTTTTCAAAATTCGTGACCCAGTTCTTGAATTCTAAAAATTTGTTTTATACGCTCTCACGTTTCGTTGTAACAAATTCATCCGTATTTTTTTTATTTGACAGTCCGTGATCGATGTATCCTTGAATGTAACGCGTTTGTAAACTCGAATATTTGCAGTCATGAAGGATGATCTAGGTTACAGAGGTACTGGAAACTATTTTCTAATATTCCAACGCACGAAGTTGGAAATACGTAATCACAAACTGTATTGAAGCACAATTTACATATTTAAATTAAAAAATATTTATTCAGAAAACTAACAATATTATTAGAAGATTAGTTAAAGTAATATTATATTTTCATAAGTTTCTTCTAATATTTAATATTCAATATTTAATATTTAATATTTAATATTTAATATTTAATATTTAATATTTACAATTATTTACTTCTATTTCTAACCTTTGGGGAATGTTTACAAAATTTCAGGTGACCGTCATTGTTCTCGATGAGAACGATCACCCACCGATGTTCACGTCGCCTTTATACGAAGGTCGAATACTCGAGAACAGCCCGCCCGGGACAAAAGTTAATTTGTCGACTCCTATTGCAGCGACGGATAAAGACGAAGGTATCAATCAAAACTTTGCCTTCAGTCTTCACGGTCAAGGCAGCGAGCTTTTCAGGATCCATCCCACAACTGGCTTAGTTTATTTCGAGGGAATCGATGATCGCACCCTCGACAGAGAAGCGAAGGCGAACTATACTTTCAAAATCGTTGCTAAAGACAATGGTAAGTCTCCCCTTTCCCATTGCTACCAACAACGAAATTTCAAATTTGAATCGACAGTTTCGAAATAACAATTTTATTTCTATGAATGTATTTCACGAATTTGATTTGCAATTTTATGCGAACAGTTGCTGTGGGGTATTACCATACAGAACTTTTACAATTCATTTTACAGTATGATACATTTAAATCGAACTTCTTATAATTTAGTTAATTTTCATATACAACATTTACAAACAAAAATCGTGGACGAAAGAAAAAAGTTTGTTTTGGTAGAGAGTGGGTAATACGTTTTATAGATACCAAATTGACCATGTTCAATGGGATTAAATTTTATTTCCCAAGATATACGATCGTTTTAATTACAGCTCGTTTAAAAATTATTTTATTGCACTGTAATGACCGTAACACCTCGTTTCTTCATTAGGTAATTACTATTCCATAATAAAATCGTTATTGAGGGAAAGGCCTATATATTTTAATGACGGTAATATAGAGTAAATTAAGGTCCCAATGAATTAGTATTGTTTTTCTATGCATTTATTTATCAACTGAAAGTACCTATATAATTTTTTACATAAAGAGATATAATTTAATCTCATCGGAAATCACAATGTATTAACTCTTTGCAGTCCGAGTGCCTTTTACATTTTCTTTCTGACAACTTTATATTATTCTAAGTGTTTCATTTGAAATGTATTTCAAAAGACGGGGAAGAGTGTAAACAATTCTTTTCACTGATGCTATAAAAAATAGTGCAGTAACATAATAAAATTAAAAAATATCCCAACACGGAAGCACAAGTTTGAATAAATCTGATGTCCAGTAATATCCAACATAGGAGTGCAAAGGGTTAATATTCATCCCATTGTCACTTACCCCGTGTTACACATTTCCAACTCATATTTATTAACACTCTCCAGGTGGTCTAACATCAGAATCCGAGCTAAGAATAACAGTAACCGACATGAACGACAACTCGCCCAGCTTCATCAGAATGATCGTTCTACCGGATCAAGGCGTCCGCGTCTCGAACGAACCAGACGCGGAGGCAGCCGACGAGAGGAACGACGTATTCGATATGAGCGAATCAATCGCCGGAAGCGAGGCCCCTAGCAGCCGTCGATCACCGCTGCTCCTCGTGCCGGAGAACGCGACGATCGGCGCGCCGATAATACGCCTGTTCGCGGAGGACAAGGACGAAGGAACGAACGCGGCGATAACGTACAGCCTGGGGAACGAGACGACTTCCGGCGACGACGCTGGTTTGCGACGATTTGATACCACCAGCCGAAGATATTTCCACCTGGACCCAAGGACAGCCGAGATATCTGTAGCCAGAGGACTTCCCACTGAGAAGAATATTCGCTTATTGGTCCTAGCTAAAGACCCAGCAGGCCTATCAGACAACATCACCGTGAGGATCCACGTGGAGGACGTGAACGATCATCCACCGATATTCGACAAGTCCTGGTACACCTTCGACGTCTCCGAAGGCATCTACGCTGGTTACGCTCTTGGCACTGTCCGAGCTGTAGATTCAGACTTTGGAGCAAACGCTAATGTCAGCTATGAGCTGGTCTCTGGTAACGAGAACCTAGAGAATCCGCAGAACTTCACAAGAACCTTTGACGTTGCACCTTACGAAGGAATAATCAGAGTCACTGGGATCCTGGATAGAGAGACTACGAGCACCCATAGGCTAGTAGTGATCGCTCGTGACGATGGCTCTCCGCAACTAAGTTCAACTGTGGAGATAGAAGTGAATGTCCTAGATATGAACGATAATGCTCCTATGTTCTATGGATACGATGACACGGAGAATGATGTCAATGGAAACAGTCTACCACTCTACCATGCCTCTATCTTCGAGAACAGTCCAATAGGTACTCAAGTGATCAAGGTACACGCCAATGACACCGACTTCACTGGTAACGGCAACGGTTTGATCCTCTTCGATCTGAGTCACCCTGGAGAGTCTGAGAAGCAGTACTTCGCTATAGACAGCAAAGAAGGTGTCATCACGACTATTGGCAATGTGGACTATGAAACATGCAAAGTCCATCGCTTAGTGATCACTGCTAGCGACTTAGGGTCCCCGCTCAGTTTGACGTCCACAGCAGTGGTACTAGTCACAGTGGTGAACGTAGACGATGATCAGGACGACGGCAACGAAGTGACGAAGTCGCCGACGTTTAGACATCGTTACTACGAGGTGGAAGTTGAAGAGAATGTCCCAGTGCCAGTGGAGGTAGCACAGCTGGACGTCGTCGAGGGACACAAAAGCGAATACATAAGGTATAGCGTAGTGGCCGACGATTCGAACTCCAGGGAACACTTCTCGATAGACCCCAGGAATGGTTCTCTGTATCTGATGACGGACGTGGACAGGGAGGTGAACGATCGATACGAAGCGAAGGTCAGGGTCGACAGGGTGAAGATTGGTCGCGGTATGCCGGTGATGATTTACCCGGTGGTCGGTGAAAGGCTGAATGGTCTGGCGCCTAACGAGGCCAGGGTCGTTGTCAGGGTGAAGGATGTGAACGACAATGCGCCCAGATTCAAGTCAAAGGGTCGGCCTATCCTGGCCGCGATACCCACCACCGCGCATTACGGCTATGAGGTTGTCAAAGTCGAGGTATGTATGATACGCCTCTGAGAAGTTGGCCGGTTACCTTCGAGTTAAAGCTGCACAGGGGCGAAGGGAATTGTTCGCTTGCTGCATCTAATGTCCTTTAAGAAAATTGGTAGGGGTGAGTTTACAGTGGATGCAATACTCGACGCGGACGAGAGAGAGCGAGGAAGTATATGTGTATACCTAGAATGAAAGAGTTTGCCTTAGAGCATAGAGCTAGATTCGGTGAATTGTTTAACGATAGAAGGATTGTGAATCGACTGTCTTTTACTTTTAGTTTCTGTCAGAGCTCTGTTATAAATGTACCCTAATGGGGTAACTGAGAACGTTTCTGGAAAAAGGTTTGTTCATCTATAAGCCCTTTTTGGTAAATCTCTTTTAGCTAACTTATTGTTTATTGTATATGTGTATGAATATTCCTTTAAAATGACATTCTTAATAATCATATATTTAGTAATTCAAACACGGAAACATATTGGAAATATTAAAATTAAGACTTTTGACACAATTTATTTAGCTCATCATTTCAGCTGATGGATCCTTGGTTAGGTCTTGGTTAGGTTTCACCATTTTAGCTCATAGATCCTCTTTTCAGAACAGTCCTAAATTATTATAGATCTTGTAAAAGTAAAAGAACCACTGATATGGAGTCTTACACCAATGTTATTCTCTTTCATTACATTTCACTCTGTTACACTGTATTTTACTTACGTTTTTCGTTACACGACCAGCCAATAACCAGAATGAGTCAAAATCAAAGTGTCACTGTTGCTATAATGACTCAATCAAGCATTCCCAGTGAATACTTTCCCTTGTCCTATGTACGTAGTCGGGCAACTTCTAAGAGGTATACTTTACATATGCACACGTGCATTCAGAGGGCCGGTATCAGCTTCACAGCTGTATGCAGCCTAGAGACCTCCAAGTAATCCCAGGTTTAATTCATTTCCTCCTCGTGTCGCCTCCTGCAGTTTTCCACCCCTTTCATCCTTGCTTCTTGAACGCTGCTTTCTTATCCTCCAGCTTCAACGGCCTTCCTTCCTCTTTTCTTCTTTAACGTTTTTGCGGTCTCTCCCTCTGTCGCCGTTAGGGTATGTGTATGAGTTTGTGTGCGCCCGGTAATGGGCTTGCTTTCTGACTGGCTGGATAGTAATTCTCGTGCGTTTTGGAAGCCACCGAGCCGCTTCCGCGTGAACTCGGAGCCTCGTGAAAAGTGAAAAGGGTGAATTATGGACCGAGTAGGATGGGAGGCCGCGTTCAAAGTGGTCTTGATATTCGCGGGCTGCTTACGCTACTGCTCGGTGATATCTATTTACTTGGTATGCACAGTGAAGGGTGGAAAGTTTATTTCCGATGATGATTATGATAGATTCGTAGGGGACTCTATTTTGTATTTCTTTCCTTCTGGGAAAGTGTACACGGATTGCATATTATCATATTTTATTCGGATGGATGAAAATGCTATGAGGAGCAATTTGTAACAAATCGGTTGTTTTCTTCTTTGTTGGTTTGATAATGATTTTTTTGGAGATTTTGGGGGAATAAGGGATGATATTGAAATTTATTAACTGATTGAAATTCAAGAATATGAAGCTTTCGTTATAAAGAATGGTATTAATTTTATCTTAATTATCAAATGGAAATAAACTTAATATTTAACTTGAAGTTCGTGGATAACATATGCTCTGGTAAAATTCAAATGATATCCGTCCTATATTCTTGTCTTAATAAATAAATATATACAAAAGAAGTTCTACAAACGAGTAAATAATAGCTTCTAGTTGAGTCTTCCTAGCTGTCCAGTTTCTTTTTAAATTCGTTAAAAAGTAAAATAATTTGATTCTCAAGCACGGGCTCTTCATCGAAACAACCAAACTCTAACAAATTTAGAAAAAGAAGTTGTCATTTCAGAATCCCAAGTATTTCAACACTTAGGTTGGCAACCAAAATATCTGCACTAATACATTTAGTATGACAACATTCTTACATAGCTTCTTTATTTTCCAATCAAAAATTGACATAAAACTGCAAAAATAGAGATTCAAAGCAAGTTTGCCAAATTTTCACATGAACAGAAGCAATTACGTAGAAAAAAAAGTTGAAATGGTTACCCAGAGATACACGTTTACCAACACAAGAGTTAAAGAGTGTACGTCCACGTTTTATGGGGTTAAATCCGCTTGTAGACGTCAGGAACGAGAAGTAAACGACCAATTAATGCGATTAATGATCTGCAGGCGGAAGATCCGGATGAGGGTGCGAACGCAGAGATCCGGTACCAAATTCTTGGTCGGGAGGATGCCCCGCGTTTCGCCATTGACCCAATGAGCGGTCAAGTACGGTCCGTGGCGAGTTTTGGCCGTGATGCGGGACGCGTTTTCGGCTTCGACGTCAAGGCCACCGACAGACGGGGCGCCGAGAACGGACGCAGCAGTATCGCCAATGTCTTCGTAAGTAACCCCATCTCTCCCCTTGCCGAACAATGCGGCGTTTCAGCTGACAATTTTAATTACCCGTTGTTAAACCCTGAATCGCATCAGTTTGATTCATATCGAACTTGATAAACATTATTAATTAAATATTTACATCGATTTTGATCAAAACAGTGGCACCAATATGTATCTTAACCTTTTGCACTGCAGTGGCCACTCTCAGTGGCCACTTAAATCAGCGCATACAAAATTATAAAATTGAATATTTAATGTTAAGCTTCGTATAATGCATCAATATGTGGATATTGGATAAGAAAACTATGCTCTTTAATTTATGTACACTGTCTCGTTGAGTTGCTTTCGACAGATGTCTGCATCTCATCAGAAAACGTTGAATATTTCTAGTAAAGTTCTTTGGAAGTGCAAAGGGATAAGCGTCTATTTTTAAACCTGTAATTTGTAGATGTAAACGAACGGATATTTATTTTGCTAGGAACAACAGAATAAACTGCGCAATAAACGTTCGTAAGCGTAGTGTTAAATTTAACCTGTTATTGTGGAATTTGGTCTAAAAAATTTTTCGTTTCGCACGCAATGAAATGAAAAAATGAAGTACGTAGTCGTCAAACGTAGGGTGAATACACATAGGGTATATTTTAATGAGATACCAAAGTGAAACAAAGGAGAATTACATGTTTATCCGAACAAATAAAGATTTCATCATTGAAAGAATTAGTATTATTTCGAGCTTTAAGATGACACGTATATTCGTCAAATGCAGTTAACTGGTTAATTTACCCTTTCGGTGATTTCGTAGGAATAAAAGACGCAAGTTCCGTTGGAAATGGGTTTCGTGGATGTCATAAATTTATCAACATTGTTTGCTTAAAGGTGTACGTACTGGATGACCAAAAACAGGTCGTGATGGTCGTCGGTCGAAGACCGATAGACCTGGAACCGCAACTCGAGAACATCACCGCGTGAGTATAATAAATCATGAGTTTGAAGTTGTTCGTGAGTAACAGTGTAATTGTTTTTTATTGTGAAAATGGTTTAGATACGAAATTCTTAGGAATTTAGTAGTTTTTTGGAAGGTCGATATTGGATTGAAGTTTAATTAGATTATTAAAATTGGAAATCATTTCATTCAATTATCTAGATTATATACTATACAATTTTAATCTTTTATACGCTAGTAATCTTTTGAATCGCTAAATGAGTTTTAATTTGAAATTAAAAAATTTATTTTGATCACGCATAAATAATACTTAAATTTTTTTGTTGAAATCGGTTTTATGGGGAACAAATGTTTTAATTATTGATAGAATCAAATACAAATAGAATGCGATACAAACGTTTGAATAAATTAGATATAAAATAATTTAAAGTATTTTTAAAATTACATTATATGTTTTAATATGTAATGTTCAAAAATCTTCAGGAAATATATTATAAATTTTATGAAATATATATGTATATTCTTTTTTTATTTAGGGTACTACAAAACGTAACAGGCCTGGATGTCCGCGTAAGGAAGTTGGAGCCGCACATTGAAAAGAATTTAATCGATACGATGTCGTAAGTGATTTATACCGTGCTGGATTTAAAATGAACCGTGAAACAGGATTTTAGAATACTGTGAATATTCTTTATTTTCAGTACGGACATTTACCTCTACGCCATCGATCCCCACTTAAACGTTATGATAGACATGGATACTTTGCATAAGTAGGTGAAAAATGATTCGCACTAATAACCTAATTAAACACTAAGTAACTAAAAAGTATATTTCATATCTTTTACAATTGTTTTTCTATAGAATTTAATTCCTCCTAAATAAGGAATAAAGAATAATAAAGAATATTTCAACTACACGTTTGATACATATGATACAATATGATACAGTCCACATTACATTCCAGATAATTAAAATAAAAATATTCTAGATCTTGAAAGATTGCTTTCTATTAAAAATATTATTTTAACTGAGTAATATATTATAACACATAATATTTTAAATAATTTCCAAAGCATTCTTTCTCAACTTTGCCTAACTACTTCCAAACTTTATCATTGGATCAGAGGATCATTGTGTAGGTTCAAGTAATATTACTATTTCTGCATGTATGAAATTTTATATATTACAATTTTCAATGGTATATTTTTACTCCGATTAAAACATCTTCAAAATGAAATACTAAATTAATTAAATACTCTAAATGTAGGAATATATAATACCAAGTATAATATTAAATTAATAAAATACTAAATTATTTATTTATTTTGCGCTATTTTATATGTTACCAGCGTATTTCACAAGAAGAAAATGGACATCAAGCGCGAGTTAGAGGAATACGATATCCTCGACATCGCCGGAAGTTCTCCGCGTCGTGGTAATCAACGTTACTTACTGTCCACCCTCGAAGTGGGCGTAGTAGTGCTCGGCTGTGTCGTCTTTGTGGGCGCCCTCATCACTGCCCTCTGTGTCACTTGCGTTCGCCGAAATAAACGGTACGAGATGCATGAATTTGCATGATCCCGGCTTCCTCTGATCTTTCGTCAACATTTAACCATTTTAGTCCACTAATTCTAGCTAATTTGAAAGTCGTGAATGTAATGTTAAATGATGGGGAATTTAAACAATTTTTTAAGTCACAAGAAGCATATAAAACTAAATTTGCGTTTAAGAAATTCTTTAACATTAGAACTACCGAGCATCTCATACGATTAATATGTAATTCCTATAAAAATTGTAATAGACTGTTTTTAGTTTTTTCAGACATTCATTATAGTATTGAAGTGAAACTATTTATTTTGAAGATCATTTCGAATATTCAATGCTTTTAAGATACCAATATTTACGAAACAAAAAAATCGAAAACAGTCATTTTGACTGATACGGTAGTTTTGGAGTTTATTGTTTAGAGATATTACTGTACTAACATTCTACGTTTTATTGTTTTTTTCATCATTCGTTTAACACTACATTGCGAATCTTCATGCGATTTCTATTTCGATATTAATTCTATAAAAATTAATACTGTGAAGGTCAGACTAATGAAACAATTTCTTTTGCTAAAAAGGATTCTCTTCTATTCTGTAATGTTTTACAAACTTCTAAATGTTACACGCACAAATGCATAATGATCTACAATCTACTAATCACATTCCGTAACATCACAATATGTAGTCTCAACTAAATGCGTACACAGAATGTCAACAAAATTTTCATCAGAAACAATTATAATATACATAGCAATAGGGAAGAAGTATTAACATTATTGAAAAAATATTAACCCTGCTGCGTCTCTTAATTTATCTATACATTTAAACATTTTAAATTCAATATACTTTAAATTCATTAGACTTCACTGTTAATAATAAATATTCACCGGTAAATGTAATTATTACCTGTTACTAATCAGATTAACCAATAGACGCGGTTATTATTAACATTAGCCAATAATGATTAATAATAATCATATTTACTACAAAAACACTAACAACGATATAGTGAACCTTCAACCCTTTGCATTCTGGAGGCAACTCAGAGTCACCACTCGAATTGGTACATTAAAATTAAAAAGTTAAATATTTAATATTAAACCTTCTGTATTACATCGCTATGCGAAATATTAAAACCAAATCCGTTTATTCCTTACTTCATTTATGAACCATCATTAAGTTTCAAACAACATCGTCTATATCTCCTCGCAAAACATTAAAGATCTTCAGTGAGAATATTTAGAGTGCAAAGGGTTAAAACACAAGACAAACAAAACGATGGTAAAAACGGTACCCAGAAAGTTTATCGCCCGCAATACATCGCCAGCAGTTCGTATCATAAACAAACTAAGGCGGGAACTTAAATAAAAAATAACTTCGTACAATCTGACTAACACACTTCACTTCTAGACGGTAAAATAGCGATCATTTGTAGGCTATAAATTGTTTGTACGACAAACCGACGCTGCAATAAACTGCTAGCGATTAATCGTGGACGATAAACTTTCTTAGACTCGGTTGAAACATGAGAAACCGATTAGGTGAAATAGACCCGAAGAACGCAGTAGGGTTGAAGCGTACGCATTCAAGTGAGTAAGTTCGTCGAAAATCTGTTCGTTGGTGGTGGTCCGCTTCAATATCCTGGAGCGCGGCGCGTCACCAGATGTCCATTATAAACGGAGTTTCCTGAATTTCGCCCGTTAGTCGCAAACGTCGGCAGAAAGCAATGTTCTCGACGACCAGCCCGATTGGATTCGCATTGGCAGATCCGACCGCGACGCTGCAGAAGCCGCCGCTCTTCTCGACCTTCGTCGACGGCCTTCACTACGACCCTGAACCGTTCTGCGCCGACATGCCGAGGCGGCAGAGCATCTGCGAGCACGGAGCCAACTGTGTTCGTTTCCACGCGTAAGTCCATTAATTGACGCCGTTGTTTTGTTAGGGTCCCGCCCAGCGACGCCTCATTGTCACACGTATTAACCATTCGAGTGCAGAGCACCGTAATCTTGTTTCTCGATGACCTGTTCGGATCGTCTCATTAAGGATCGAATTATAGCTAGAAGAATTACACTATAACGTGATTAAAGGTTGCTGATAAGTAGTTATGAAAATGAGATTCTTTGCACGGGAATAATATCAGTGGAGGATGATGTTAGGGGTGTAGCGAAGATGATGACGGAACTTAATGAGAAATTTGTAAACGTGGAAGTCCTCTAATGTGAATTTTTTTAATTAAGTTGTATGGGCTTCTGTGTTTTGTAAGAATCTGCTGAAATTTCAGTTTTTTTATGAATCTTTTAACTTCTGACTATGTTTGGGAAGAAATTATGTTGAAGTTAGTAGCAGAATGGGGCGTTTTAGAAGATATTGCATCTCTAAGAACACTAAGATTTTATAAGTGTGTTTACGTGTTCATAGAAAAAATGATGAGAAATGAAATTGTACAAGTTCGTGGATTTATTTTGATTACAACGTATTAGTTTAACAAAGTTTCATAAAGAAAATTTCGTGATGACTTTCAAGTGATCTTCATTCTGCTAAAACTTAAATTAAAAAACAACTCAACCACAGTTTTCTCACGCCACAACATATCATAAACGATATTCAAATCTTAAAGTATCAGAAGTCCTAATTTCCTACAAAAGAATTATCCCCACAATCCCACCATCTTCCAATACTCGGGATTATCACACAAAGTGCTCTTCAGTTACTTGCAGTCCACCCTGTGAAGCAACCGATAAATTTCCTTAACACGTTGACCACCATGGTGGTCACCAATGATCAGAACTTCCAAATTGTTTAAAAACAGTTAAAGGAAAAGAACACTGTTATAAAATCAAAATATTTAGTTACATAAGTAACTAAACAGCATAACTTAAGAACTACAACACTAAATAACACTGGTCCACATAACTTAACCTTGTTATGTTATATAAGATTTAATGGTGATCGTGATAATATTTCTCATACTGAATTTGAATATGCAATCTGTGTTCCTCCATTATCCACAATTTTTAAGAAAATCAATTTCATTAACATCACCTATTAAATCTTCTATAATAAAAATCGTAATTAACACTAAAACTACTGAGCAGTTAAATTGACTTTTCAAATTCCTCCATGGAAACTCGACAGAATTCAGTTTGAGTATTGCTATATCAATTTCTCTAATAATTTCTCAGAAAAATATTTGTTACCTTTTTAGTAATTACAAAAAGAAGAAGTTCAGTAGTTCTAGTGTTAATCGATTCTCATACAACCTTTGCCATGATAGAGTAAGTAACACTATACAAAACGCTAAAAATTCTCATGGCGGTTAACGAACTAACCAAAATCTAAACCGTGCCAGCCCGACCTCAGCTAGTCTCGCGGCCGCTAGCGGGGCTCCCGCGTCGCCGACGATCGCGGATTCTTGCCGATCCTTCGTCCGGGGAATATCAGTAAACGAAAACTACATGGGCGAAGTAGCCATGGCAGCCGAGGAATTAAATAAAACCGCGACAGAGGGGAATGCATTTATTATGAAAGCATTCGGAGCTAACCCAACCCCTTCCCCAAACCCTTTTTCATCCCGTCAAGGTCGACCGGTAATATAGCAAATATTGTATCAGGGAATTTCCATATATTTCGCGACGTCGATGCTAGTGGCGGGGGTTGGTTGCAGGATGGGCGGCGGTAGTAAGCACGCCGGGAGGACGACAGGGACCCCGAAAGGCCTCGAGGCATCCGCGACGTCCTTGCATTCCAGCGGTCAGGATTCTGGGATCGTGGCGCGCGCCTCCTGCCACTGCAGTCACTCGTCGAGCCCCTCCAGCGGCGAGAGCAGCAAGTAAGTCGAATTACTTACGGAGCTATTCGTGCTATCTAAATTGAAAAAGAGTTCGGGCCGGTGCGGTCGATCGATCGGGACCGTGCGTACTTATGGACGTAAAATACTGTTGGGAGATTACTTGCTGGGTAGGTTGAGGAATGTGGGTGTGATTGGTTTGCTTTTATTTCGACTCATCTTATTTATGATAATGTTTTGGTATTGATGTGGGTACGTGTATATAGAGTTGTAGAAATGAGTGTTGAGTGTTGAGTCCTGAAAGCTGTGGGACCATTCAAGCCTGAAGAGTTTAAGGACACAAGGCTGGAGGGTTGAGCTATGGAAGCTGAAGTCTTTAATGTTCGAAGACTTGAGTTTTTGTTGCTGTTACAGCAAAATATTAACTTTGGATATGTTGAGAGTTGAAGTTGAAGTTTTAAACTTTTAAAGTGTTAATATAGCAACAGGTTTAAGTTTTCGACTGTCTTTGAGTATAAAGGATTCGAGCGTTGAAGGCTCTCAAGGCTTAGTTAGAGTTTACAAAGATTCTAGGTTGAGTTTTGAAACTTCGAAGACTCAGTCTTTCAGATTGAATCTGGAAGCTTTGAAGACTCAAGGTTTAAGGTTAAAGCTTAAAACTTCGAAGACTCGAGCTTTATAGACCTTCAAATCTTCAAAATTCAGCCTGTAATGTTGTCCTGAAGTTTTGAAGATACAGTTTTTCAGGTTGAACCCTGAAGTTTCAAAGACTCAAACTTTATAGAACTCTAAACGCCTAAGACTCCTTAACGTTGTGTTGAACTTTCGAGGACTAGAGAGTTTTGCAGCACTTTGTATACTTAATAAATCACAAAAACTATAAACGAAACGCTTAACAAAAGACTCTTGTCCCTGTGCCGTCCCGTTAGACATCAAGTTATCTCCCAGTAATACATCCGTACCATCCCGCTCGTGGTAAAATAAGCGTCGGGGATCACGCTGGGTTTCGCTGCCAGTCGCTGGACTGAATTTTAACCAACCTGCGGACGGATAAGGAGATGTCCCGGCGTTACGTGGCGATTTTGGATTGTCGAGAGCTCCGGACGTAGACCCCGGGGGTTAGTTTACTGTCTGTTGCGTGGATTCTGGGAGATTTTGCTTGTGGGATCGTGTTTCGAAGCAATGATAGGAGTAATATAGTGTTTCTAGCTATGAAAGAATGTTCAAATATTTTTTTTTATTATTGCCGATGAGAGAGTTTCAGAGTTAGAATGATTTCGAAAAAGAAAGAAGTATAATAAATGGAAAATTTTGCTTTGCGATGATACTTCCCATTTTCTATTTTCAAATCACTGAATTAAACAAATGCGACTGAACTAAAAATGCATGTAAAGTACATTTAACATTTTCATTTTACTTTACGATTTTATTTTATTTACTTTACGAATACCCTTATTTTATGGTTTCAAGGAGATCTTGGATATTGGAAGAGTAATAACATTCTGAAACAATTTTCAGTCAATTTAGATGATGTGACCAAAACAGTGCATATTATCGTTTTTATTTAGAACTCTATGAATGAAATAAATTTTACTTTCGAGAGTTGCTCTAAGCTAGCGGTTTTCATCCTCACTTTCAAAAATTAGATTCTAATATTAATAATAATATTAAATGTTTTTATATTAATATTATAATATTATTTTTAATATTAATGTAATTAACGTTGCTTTAAATTCATGTTTTCTTATTGAAAATGAATTGCCTACGATTAAATGGGATTTAATGGAAGAATAATACTTGATGCATACTAAATTAATTATGAATACTTCATTTTTAACAACTTGTTAGAAAGAAAAAGAAATTTATGATTGTCGCGAGTCTACATTTATGTACGTAGTGTAAAGATTAAATATTGACAACAGAAAAATAGTACTTCATTCAAAAGTAATGTCAAAACAAAGGAATAGTATTAATATTTATTAGCATCTATTTGAATTCTCCATGAAACGTCTGTCTCGATATCATAAAGCAAGAGTTTGAGAATAAATGAATAATAGCAAACATTTCTCGAATGCAGGCAATAAGCGTCAATTTCACGATGATATGTATAATTAATCATTTCCTTTCACGGGTAACGAGCGAAGCCAATTAAACGAATCTTTTGTATTTTGAAATGATTAATAGCCTTATATAAAAGCCCCATTACTACTCTCAAATGAGTGTAATCATTAGAGCTGTTCTGGAGATATACTTACGTGTCATATAGACACATTTCTTCATAATACTAAAAAAGTTAATAAAAAATTAGCAATAAGAAAATCTTGGATATCAATTAAAGGATTTTTGTACAGTAAATGCGAAGAGAAAATGGTTTCTTTTAATAAAAAATATAAAATATCCGCGTAAAAGTTTGTCGAGCTCACACTTATCGTAAAGATCTTTTAAATATTTACATATTTTCGATATTATAGAAATATCTATTATTTTGTTTAGAAGAAATCAAAGAATCATTTTTTACAAGAAGTTCACTACTCCGTTCAAAATTAAATATTTCAAAAACTGAGAGCGATAAGGAAATTCTACTTTCGGATTCGTGTTTTGGTTAAAATGGTCTACATAAATCATTCATTACTGCATAGTATTATTTTATTCTTAACACTATAACCGCTAGATAGATTAAAATTTCCCAATTATAGTTTCCCTCTTCATAATTACTAAACCAATATAGTTTCTTTCCTTTAAAATCATTTAATAATTATGTATTAATTAGATTTAATAACCTGCAAACTAAGATATAATTAAATTAAGATCTTAATAAATGTACTTTTGTAATTTCCATACGAAACAAAACAATAAATTTGACTGACCAGCAATTCCAGTATTAATTAACACATAAACCACGGTGGTCACCGATACCGAAGCGTTCAAGTGACTTGAAAACAATTACAAAAAAACTGATGTCGAATCAAAATATTCAGTAATACGAATAACTAAATAATAGTATAACTGAAGAACTATGATATCAAACCATTAACAACTAATTGTAATACCATTTACCTTTGTGATGATACGATAAGTATTGTTATACGAAAAGCTCTAACTTCTCGTGGGGGTCAACGTTAATCTATAGTAATATTATCATGTCTAATTAAATTATTCAATTGACGTTACCGAAACAAATGGCAGAAATCATCGTTTCTTCACAGTGGTTACGAAGACTCTCTGAAGTCCTTGCAACGTCGCGAAAGGGTAAACGACATGTCGCGCGGAAGCCACGATACCTCGAGCATCGTCGGGAGACGCGCGAATCAGGCGAACACCAGGAGGCGGCAACGTTTTAATTCCCTTTCGAACGGGGAAACTATGTATTCCCATGAGATGACGCTGCAGAGGGAGCAACGTTGTTGCATCGGGACCGAAAAACGCCGTAAGAACGAGCTGCACCCTCGCGAACATCGCCGCGCGCATTCCGAAGCGGAGAACAATATCACGGAGACGGTGATACACGAACATCCCGGCACCGAGATCTCGCTGTCGAGTTCATTACAGAATACGTCGAGCCTTCATGGTGAGTTTTACGAATTAGTTTTCGTAGATCGTAAATTTAGATTTAGAACAATGATCAACCCTCGTAGTTTCCGTAATTCCAACGATAACGCAGAGTGTTTCAGAAATGTGTTATAATAATCATAGTCCGATTTTATACTTTTTATTTGATGAGAAAGTATGTGAATAAGTGCTTCCAAAAATTTATCCTGACCTTGGTAAAATTGGTTAACAGATGTTACTGCTGGTGAGATTCACGAATTAGTTTTGGTAGATAAATTCAGTTTTAGAACTATGATCAACCCTCGTAGTTTCCGCGATTCTAGCGACTGTACAGAGTGTTTAGAAAATGTGTTACAATAATTATAGTCGGATTCTATCTCTTTTATTTGATGAGAAAGTATGTGAGGAAGTACTCGCAAAATTCATTCTGATTTTCGAAAAAATGGTTGACAGATGTCATTGATGTTTAAAAGAAAATACAACTGCACTTGCATAAGTGAAATGTTTTATATAATATTATTTAAAAATTGAAGAAATTAATAAGTTACACTTATATATTTTAATGATATTATTACTAGTTCATTGACAATAAAAAATAACGAAAACAATAACATATATTTGTTTTTCCATTAATGTCTGCAAAAATGGGAATATCAGAGCTTTAATAGCTTAAACTAAATGATACATAAAATAAACAATACACATTCCATAAAACACACAAAATTGGTGTCACAGTCAACGTGTTTCAAAATAGTCTACTTACTTGCACATTGTTATACTTACAAGGGAACCTTTTTAACCAGCACACGTCGATTTGATGAAACTGATGTGAGACATTGTTCTCAAGAAAATATTTGACACGTATTTTTTCTTATTGGCCAACATACAAAGAAAGTTGAGGGTTGAAAGTATATTCTTTACAATATCTCTGAGACCAGGGGCTGTAGAAAAGAAATCTTTTTGATTTCGTATTGTTCGTTTCGAAATGAACAATTTAAATCTCTTTCCTACACTCAACAAAGTTGAGGGTTGAAGGTATATATTTTACAATATCTCTGAAACTAAAGGCTGTAGAAAAGAAATCTTTTTGAAATTGTTCGCTTCGAAATGAACAATTTAGATTTCTTTTCTACACCCTTCAAAGTTGATGGTTGAAGGTATATTTTTTTAATATCTCTGAAACTAGAGGCTGTAAAAAAGAAATTTTTTAAATTGTTCTAAATTAATTCGTGTAAAATACGTGTCAAATATTTTCTTGAGAACTACGTTTCACATCAGTTTCATCAAATCGGCGTGTGCTGGTTGAAAAGGTCCCCTTGTTAGCTATTCTTTGACGCATTCATTTTATAGGTGCTTCTAGGAGCAGCCACATGCTATACTAGGAGCAGGTATACTATCTACGGAAGGGGAAGTCTCCAGAAGGAAGCAGGATAAGTAATCTTTCTGGCCATGAGTTATCTTATTGTCCATAGCATTCCTCGTGCGAGATAATGTCGGCTGTTCCCACCTCTAACAAGGTGTGCCTGTTTTTGCACGATGGTTCCAGCGCGACAAGAGATAAGATTAATTTCCTTCGATCATCCGCGTTGCATTGCGGGAATAGATTTTCAGCTCTGCTGGCTTTGTTCCTCTCTTGGAGAATTGTGTTCGCAATCTAATGCACGTGAGATAATTAAAACCTGTGTCAATGAATCTTACAGCAGGACGCGTGAAAGTTGATATCGACGAGAATCATATAAACGAAATTTATTTAAATAAGACAAAGTCAAGTGATGACTCTTCGACTTCGAACGTGATTATGTTCATTATTTTATAAAGAAAAATTATTTGTACTGTCAATCATTTTTCTAACAATGGCTTGTAAATGTTAAAATTTCTGAGTCATTTTATACAGTTTATTTTATATATTTAGTTAATTTCTATTTTTATCTTAATAAATATTTGCAGTAGAATAGACGGAGAATTTTTATTGTTCTAAATTAATATTTACAGTTTATTTATACAATATTTATGTAATTATTTACCTTAGTATACATTATTATTCTAAAGTAATATTTAACAGTTTATTTATATTTATCAGTCTCTATGGTTTAAATTTAATCACGTTCGGAAACTGACATCACGTGACGAATGAATCCGTCCATGCCAATATTGAAGTATTGAACCATCAACTTCCGTTCACCGGTCCATTCAGTAAGATATATGTTTCATTGTAAGAAATTTTACGCAGAGTGAAATGGAGTTCTACAGGACTGATAAGAATTCCATTTTTAGTTAGATTTTTGCAAGTTACCATGTTGAATTAGGTCGCTGGGAAAGAATAAGCACCGACTAGAAGCAGCACGTTCTCAAATCGTGGTTATTACTTCCGAGTAAGTTTTCGCGCAAAATGTGTCATCTCGTTACCAAAGTACTCATTAATTCGAAGATCACTCATTTATGTAAATATGCGAGAGGATATATTTGTACTTTGAGAATCATTATTATGTTTTTTTTTTACGGTGCGATGATTATTTATCGTATAAGAATGTTCTTAGAACATGTAAATGTTTCGTGTACAGTACGGTGTACATTTTGCGTTGAGGGTTGTGTGAATATTGTGTATTGAAAAATCGTTGTCATAGAACTTTCTTCATAGCTTATCTAATTGTAGGCTTATCGATTGGTTTCATTGACAAACTTGAAGAACTAAGGACAAATTCGTAAAAGTGTCAGTTCAAAAAAAATGTTTCAGTTTCATTGAACGCATAAATATTAATTTTTTTATTGTTCTATAATTATATTACACAGTTTAATTAAGATTTCTTCGCAATAACATATAAAGTATGTAATCTTTTTTTAATTAATTTATTTGAGACAGTTTTTATTTGAAACAGCTAACTAATCTTAAATTTTATATCGATTCTATTATAAAAACTTCTCATTGGAACACGAATTAATATAATTTAATGGTTCTCTGCAAGTTTGTCCGTGAAAAAAGAATATTTTAAGATTAAGTACACCCGAGCCTTGTGAATACACGAATTTTATAACGTCCTCTATTGCTGTCTACGAAAATCTTTAATATATTTAAAATTACTGTAAGAAAGTGTAACATATGTATGTAATAATGTATAATTTATACTGCGGACCGAAACAGTCCGGCGAGAAGTAACTGTGTTAATAAATCGTTAATAAAAGCAAATATTGTAAATACAATGTTTCCACCTGTATTTGTGAAACCTTCTACTGTTTTTAAAATTAAACAAATTATTTATAAATCATTTTAACAGTTTGTAAGATACATGAGTAATTCCGCCCAATATATATAATATATACTTACTGTAAATATTACATCTATAACTAACATTTATTGCAAAATTTTCTTAAACAATAAAGCTTTTATTATTATTATTAGATTGTATTATATTATATTATATTATGCTATTATTCCTGACAAATCATTTTCCACGACGTAAGTATGTCAATGTTATTTACTGGGACAGCGGAGATCGAAAAGGGAGCGTATCCAACTGGCCAATGAATGAATTCCCTTCAATAATACGACATTTGTCCAACAAAGAACCTTCCCTTTTCTCGTGTTATCAGAAAAATAAAAGATCGCCTTGAGGAGCCAGATGAAATGTTTCTCACGAAAAACATTCTATCAATTCTACGTGCCAAAATAAATGAACCAAATCGAAAAATTATTAATACTTTAATACAGTATCACAATCGATATCCATTTATGAAAAATATTTATGCAATAACAATAATTCGTCGCGCCTAAACAAGTTTCATTCCAACTAATTCACTTATGGATTTCAAATCTACAATTGTTTCCAATCACAGTTGATCAAAATTACCTAAGTAGCACTAATGTGAATATCAGATTGGAAAAATATTTCTCACAACGTTTGCAATAATTTATATTTTCTGTCTCTGTGCAAAATGACAATGTAAGAGAGAGAAACTCTGATCTTACTCAGATGTAACCCAAACACACAGATCTTTCATCAAAAATCGACAGAACTTGATGCTTCTCAATGTTCCTGCGTTGGTAACATTTTTTTAACACTGAAACTATCAGGCCAAAATGATTCGTTCCTGATGTCTTCTTTTTAGTATTATTAAAAACGTAACACATGTTCCTCTGAGAAATTATTGCAGTATTTGATTTAGCAATATCCAAACTGAATTACAAATCAATAAAGTTTCAATGCAGAGATACACTCTAGAAGTTACTATAGAGGAATTTCAAAAAGTCAATTTAACAATATTAATAATTACTCAATATTAATAATTGTTATATTATCAGAGAATTGATAATTTACTAAAAACATCGACAACCCATGTGGAAGTGAAGCAGTGATTTGTAGCAATTACCTTGAAATCTCGATTGGACCTTCTTTGTTTCAATACCATTGTCACGGAGTTTGCCAAGGACATAGTTAGACCCCGAGTCCTAGGACGTGGTTCATTCCTAATCGCAATGTAATAGATTCAAGGTCCGCTGATCAGCGATATATTGGTGACACCGTGGGGGAATCAGGAATCTCCTCGTACGATTCATTTGATCGTAATTAAAACACCCACGCTGATTTGATCAGCGGGAAGAGAGATTCCAGGGGTGCTCAGGCACCATCAGGAATTGCGATCTGACACCACGGCGGTGACCTTTCTCACTCAAGGCCAAGGGGCATACTGATGAGGCATTCCGCGCGATCGAATTGTCCGAAACATCGGGATTGCTCCAATCGGTATCCGGATCCAATCTTCGTGTCGCGAAAGAAGCATGACGTCTGGGTTCTCTTAAGCACTCCTTAATGCTCACGAAAGTATATTCAGATTTCTTCATTTGTTTTTTAATACTCCTTAATTCTTTTTTAGATAGTTTGTTAAACCTTTTGTTAACCCGTGTAACGGTTAACCACTTGCCCTGTAATATTGTGTTAGACTCGAGATGAAGATTTTAAATACAATTTAACAAATAAATATTCAATTTGTATGAATTTAAACTATGTATTATTCCTCTGTTATTCATAATGCTTAAGAGCATACGTACACATCGTAGGGTAAGAAGTTAATCAAAATATATAGTTTCTTAATCCTGTTTGTTATCTGGTATTTAATCTATTTTTAATGAACTCAGTTATATTAAATGTAGAACATTTTAAGTGGATTTAGCTTTGTTTTTTGTAACTGGTATAGGAAAATTAAACATAAGGTAATACTATTGTAGTATCTAGAATATTTATTGTAGGATGAATGGTTTGTTGTGCGTGCGTGAGGGCGACCAGGTCGTATTGCGACGGACCGGCGCCGGAATGTTTGGAAAATAGTGTGACTGCGT